TACACCCTAAATCCTAAACCTTAAACCCTAAACCTTAAACCCTAAACCCTAAACCCTAAATCCTAAACCCTAAACCTTAAACTTTAAACCCTAAACCCTAAACCCTAAACTAAAGTCTCGGAAGCCTCTCGCACTTCAGACTCGGGGGTTCGGCCCTGACACCCCAAACCCTAAACCCCAGGGTGTAGGGGTTTAGGGGTCTAGGGGTTTAGGGGTTTAGGGGTTTTGGGGTTGTAGGGTTTAGGGTTTAGAGTTTAGGAGTGGGTTTTAGGGTTTAGGGGTCCCAGAGCTTCCGTCGCGATAACGGATCAAGATCAAGGAGTGAAACCAGAAGAGCCTGAAAACCCGGAGATAGAATCCGAGAGACCGGAACCTCTCAGGCGCTGGCTTGGTGGGTTTGGGATTGGTTGGTTTAGGATTTAGGACTTAGGGTTTAGGGTTTAGGGTTTAGGGGTTGAGGTTTTGGGATGTCGGGTTCAGGGCATACTTTGCGCTCTTGGGGCTTTTCAGATTCGGGCTTCAGGGTTTGAGAGTTTCAAGATTTTGGGGCTTATGGCCCTAAACCCTAAACCCTAAACCCCAAACCCCAAACCCTAAACCCTAAACCCTAAACCCTATGGCTTCGGAGATTTCAGACCGCCGAAAACCCTGAGTGCCTCACCGAAACCCCAAGTTTAGATCAGCTGCGCAGAGCCGATTCGAAACCCCCTCCTGTTTCGGGTAGGGTTTAGGGTTTAGGGTTTAGGGTTTAGGGTTTAGGGTTTAGGGTTTAGGGTTTAGGGTTTAGGGTTTAGGGTTTAGGGTTTAGGGTTAAGGTTTTAGGGTTAAGGGTTAAGGTTAAGGGTTTAGGGTTTAGGGTTCAAGGGTATAGAGAGCTGAATGTTCAGGGCCTTACAGACAAGGGTTCCTCACTCAGGGGTATGCACTAAGAGTATCAAGCAGAAACCCTAAACCCTAAACCCTAAACCCTAAACCCCAATACTCTTCTGCATGGAGGGAGGGAAGGTCTCGACCATGAATCCTGAAGATTCTAGGCACTTGGTCTTAGTGCTCTAGGGCTGCTAGCAGACATCCAGCAGCACATCCCCGGAACTATGGCGGTTTCATGCTTGGGTGTTGAGGGTGCCTGATTTAGTTTAGGACGTTTTGGTATTTCCAAGTTTTTCGAGATGTTGGGGCGTAGTCCCAAGACTTTCAACACGAGCCTTCGTCCCTGCAGATCCAACGGCAAGGGTCCTCTTGTCGAGGAAGCGCTTCATGCCGTGCTGTCGCACGTAGGAGTATGCCTTTTCCAAGCCAGGACAAAGGCCGGCCTACCCTAAAATCCCATCTCCTTACCATGCATGTTTGAAGCTCCCTGAATTACTCTATCAGTACGTGCATACAACGACTGGATGCACGCATACTACACACACATGTGTAGATTCAGAAGACCAGGCTGCGCCAGAGGCAGAGCTTTGCTACCAGGTCCAGCCATAACCCTACGGTTTAGGGTTCAGGGGGTTTGGTGCAGAAAAAGCAAAGCTCAAGCCCAAACCCTACACTCTAAACCCGTAAAGCCTAAATCCTAAACCCTAAACCCCAAACCCTAAACCCTAAACCCAAACCTTACACTCTAAACCTGTAAAGCCTGTACTCTCCAGCCTACACCCGAACAAGGCCACCCTGCGAAGAGGCTGCCCGCTGCTTGGCAAACAAACCCTACCTCTGATCATGAGGCGTGTTGAGACCCTCATAAACAACGACACCAAGAAGCAATAAGATAAGATGCAATAAGTATGTGGGTAACAATGTTTCTGGGTACTGACTGCTGGTTTACCATATTCAAAAACGCACAGGCAGATTCTGCGTATATTATATGAGTGAATGAGACAGAGCGAGACAGAGAGAGAGAGAGAGAGGGAGCGAGAAAGAAATAACGAAACGCAACGAGAAAGAAAGACAAACAAGGAGAAAGATAGACGGCAGTTGGGATGCTAACGCAGGCGACATGCAGCTCAAATAAGAAGGGTTTCATAGAGTTTACATGCTGCGGCCCCTTGCCTGCCTACTCAAGACCCCTCCTTCCAGTACGGCACCCTTATAAAAGGATCCCCAAAAAGAGACCCGAATTTAGAGAACTACCCACATGAACCCTGTATCTTCGCGTCAACCCGGAAGCGACTGCCTTGCAGTCGCCAGCGGTGCTTTGCCAAGGGTAGGTGCCAGTCGCCAAGACATAGCCTACCACCCCGCCTTAATTGCTGAGTTCATAAGCCACAAGAAGTGTACACTTTCAGTTTTATAGCGGGTCATATTATCCCAAAAAGTGTAAAGTGTATCCACTCAGCTACTAAGCCACATGCAAACAAGTCGGCTGCGCGGGCGTCGTAGACGGCATTCCTGGGCTTCGACAAATCATAGAACCGCACACATGTTCCTAATCTGTACTCACCTTTCATAAGGGGCAACCAGACCAGCATGCAACGCCAAAACGGGCAGTATTTGGGTGTAGGTCGGGTGACAAGTCCCCCAATATGGCTCCTAAGTATAGTTACCTTACTAATTATAACCCCACTTTTGACCCAACCCTATACCCGAAACCTTAAAAGCCTAAACCCTAGAAGCCTAAACCCTAAAAGCCCTAAACCCTAAACACCCTATATTCTTGGCGTACTTCTGAACCCCTCCTAAAAGTTAAACTTTTAGCCTAGATATTATAGTTCATATAGAAACCCAAAAAGTTAAAGTCTAAAGAGCCAACCAGAAGAACGCTCAGTATTTGGGAACCCAGGAAGCTCCAAACCTTAAAAGCCTAGACCCTAGAAGCCTAAACCCCAAAAGCCCTAAACCCTAAACACCTAAACCCTAAAAACCCAAACCCTACATGCCTAAACCCCAAAAACCCTATATTTGGGAACCCAGGAAGCTCTTCCAGGGTCTCGGGAGCCCGGTACATCAGCTTTCCGCGAGCTCCCGTGGCTTTCGAGAGGTCGGTGTCGTGCAATGCCATGGCGAAGTCTAGGAGAGCCACCTCCACCTCGAAATTCGGAGGGTTTGTTAGGGTTTCGGGTTTAGGATTTATGTTTACGGTTTAGGGTTCAGGGTTTGGGTAACATTTTACATGGTAATGTAGATAGGAGCTTGCATAATTACCGATACCATTTCGGGGGTTCCTCATGATGGTTATTGTGTGTCATATACCCCGTGTCATATACCCCAAAACCCTGTTCTAATTCTTCAGGCCCCT